CACATCGGGGTATATTCTCTTCCTTGGACCTAATCCGATCAGTTGGAGTTCCAAGAAGCAAAAGACAGTTGCACGTTCTACAACTGAAGCTGAATACCGTGCCATTGCCACCGTAGCTGCAGAACTCAATTGGGTCATGAATCTCCTCAAGGAACTTGGCATCAACATCAACTCTACTCCTACAATATATTGTGACAATGTCGGAGCCACTTATCTATGCGCCAATCCGGTATTCCACTCCCGCATGAAACACATCGCCATCGACTTTCACTTTGTGCGAGAACAAGTTATCAAACATCAACTACGTGTGTCTCACGTACATACGGCTGATCAATTAGCGGACTCCCTCACGAAGCCTCTCACCCGCAAATCGCTTTTATCACATCGGTCCAAGATCGGCGTCCTTGACAGAAGCATCGTCTTGCGGGGGCATGATAACAATCAAGATCTCCCGTGATAACAACCGCAACAACAGTCAAGATCTCCCGTGATTACAACCCGTGATTACAACCGCAACAACAGTCAAGATCTCCCATGATAACAACAGTCAAGATCTCCCTAACTACATGATAAGATATCATAAATATGGAGTATTGTGTACTATTTCAATCAATACAATCAATCAATACAATCTTCTTCTTTCTATTTCATTTCATTTCTATCAGAAAGTACTGCCGAAGCTCTCGTTGGTGAAATTAACGACGGGAGAGGCATGAGGTGGGAAGACGACGTAGCACCATTGGGGGCAGTAGAAGCTGCAGAAACCCAAAGAGAAGTCCTTGCTTTGCTGCTTGTCAATGGTGGCCATGGCCAACAAAGAGAAGAGATCAGGCTGAGGAGGTCTTCTCTATCGCAGTGGAAGTGCTGCCAGTGGAGGATGTTTATGGGCTTCCAGTGTAACTGATGGCATGTTGGAGTCAGTTTATGGTTATTGTCTTGGGAGTTTGGAAGCTGATGGAAGTGTCATTGAAGTCTGCTCTTAATCCAACATGAACAATATGATTCAATGATCACTCTCCCGAAGGAGAGTAGGTCAATATTTGCCAAGAAGACAGGAAAGAGATAGCCAGGCGGCACTCCTACCATGTCTTCTCCGAAGACATGTCAGAAACCTGCAGTCAATCTGCGTTTCATCTTTTGGTGTCTCTGCTCTCCCAACAGTGAAATGAGCTCAAGCTGTTCATCGAGTAGTTCACCAATGGATATGTTTGCTGTCCTCAGAGCGTTGACAATTTGGTTGCTACAATGCCAATGAATGCATACATAAAAAGAATCTGTGATACTTGTTCTTTGTATGATTTGAAAAGAAGGGGAAGAACATGTCTGCGTAAGACACAGTAATGATGTGATCAGTCTCCACTGACGCGAGAGGCGATCCATGCAAATGCCCGCCATGGCCATACCAGTCTGCATCACACTTTCCAAGGGGAAAGAATCAGATATTATTGTGGGCACGCACTCTGTCGTGGATTCGATTCCACCCCTATCCAGATGCAGGATAACGAGTTGAGTAAAGATCCGTGTATAATTCCAATCTAATTTTAAGTGGATATCAAAGAAGATTTGTGTATAATTAAAAAGATAAATTAGAAAAAATAAGTGGAGAAAGAATAAACGAATGGACGGAGATGAGAGGAAGGAGAGGGAGGAAGAAAGGTGTTTCTCGAAAACAACGCATTGAGACTCATCTGAAAGGATAAGAACGACACGACTCTCTCCTCATCCGAGCCCACATTACTCTCTCTCTCTCTCTCTCTCTCTCTCCATCTCTGTCTCTGAGTCAACGAAGTCCTTTAGACTTCTGCTATCTATCATCTGATTCCAGCAGCGGAAGCAAGCAGAGAGGAAAGGAAGGATTTTTGTGATGATCAAGGTGGCGGTCAATCAAGAATCACCATTCAGAGAGCTAAATATCAAGAACAGGCGAATCATGGTGAGTTTCCCCAAAAGGATTGTTGCTGGCTTCGAAGTTGGTGGCTTTTTTTGCTCTGTCTGATGATGATGATGGGGGATGGAACAGGGCGGAGGAGGGACGGCGGAGGAGAAGGGTAGGTGGCCGCGGTGGCTGCGACCGCTTCTGTCGACGAGCTTCTTCGTCCAATGCGAGCACCACGCTGACTCTCACAAGAGCGAGTGCAATATGTTCTGCCTTGACTGCACGAACGGCGCTCTCTGCTCCCTCTGCCTCGCCCACCACCGCGGCCACCGCGCAATCCAGGTCCGTTTGTTCTGAAGCGTCTCTCTCAGTCATGCTTTGCGTTTCCTTGGCCTCCCATAGGAGTGGCTCTGTGTCTCCCCACCATAAAGTTGGCTCTTCTGATGGGATCTCGATTGCAGATACGGAGGTCTTCCTACCACGACGTGATCAGAGTTTCCGAGATCCAGAAGGTACTGGACATCACCGGCGTGCAGACGTACATCATCAACAGTGCCCGTGTCGTCTTCCTCAACAAGCGCCCACAGCCGAGGCCCGGCAAGGGCGTCACCAACACCTGCGAAGTCTGCAATCGGAGCCTCCTCGACTCCTTCCGCTTCTGCTCCCTCGGCTGCAAGGTCTGCACTCTCAGTCTCTCTCCAAAACCCAGTCTTTCCACCGAACCTTCATGTCCTCTCTCTTTCTGTAACCAATTGTTCGATGAAATGCCCGTTTCAGATCACCGGTACTTCCTCCGACTGCCGCAAGAAGAAAAAGACGAAGAACAAGAAGAAGTCAACGGCCGAATCAGACTCGGAGGAGTCTTACTTGAGAAGCAGCAACCCCGGCAACGAGAGGAGAAACGTGACACACAGCTTCACACCATCGACGCCGCCGCCGACCGCCACGAGCTTCCGCACCGCTAAGAGAAGGAAAGGCGTCCCCCACAGAGCCCCCTTCGGAACCCTCCTACTGGGGTTCTAAGCCCAGTCCCCCATCACTATTAGATACCATGAAGTAGTATCATCATCATATATTTGTCACCATAGTAGGCTCGATCGAAACAGTATCACCTCTCTCTCTCTCACACACAGACACCAATTCATGGTTCCTAGGAAACACATGTATGTTGGTGATATATAGCTGGTGTTAGGCCCATTACAGAGGTTGTGTGTGTATAATAGATAGGAAAAGGTTGTAGTTGCATTGCAGTTTAGTAACGTGATATGTGAGTGTAGATATTGAAGGGGGTGGTAACTAAAGAGGAATGCGTAGTTTGCTTGCACGGTGAGTTGTGGTCGATTCCAGGAGCTCGATGGCTTCTCTTGTTCTTCCGTGTTGGCTGCCTGGTTGTCGACATGGCGATGTGGTCGTCGTATCACGTTGACTTTTTGGTAGCGTGCACCGACCGTCTTCACAAGCTCAGGGCCCACCCATCGTTCTCGCGTAGCAGCAGCTGCAATAACGACGACGCCATCGTCTTCTGTGGCTCTCATCATCTCACACCACAGGTTGCACGAACCCTACTGTTTCTGCTGGAGCAGCGCCTTCTTCTTCTGATGCATGTATAATGCAGCCATTCCATGTCCACGTGATCTCAGTACCGAGCTGCTCCGCTGCTGCATAGACAGGTTCTCGGATCATGATGAGCAGATCATCGTTATGTCATGTCAAATCTTCTCGCCTCAGATTTTCCCGTTTGTTCCATGCAGTGCATCAAAGATGGGAAAACCACAGAGAGAGAGAGAGAGAGAGAGAGAGAGAGCACTCGAGATTGTCGACATGACATTAATGTGCCACAAAGCTTCGCTGCTTTCGGACGATCGCATCACCTGCCTTCTTTCCCCTTGGGACCTCACGTTTACGACCACCATTGCATCATATGCTATCCATGTGCATCAAATAGCAGGTCTCCTTGGATCTCACCAGCCAAACTTCAATGATAGGATGGGGGTGAACCTAAAGAGCATAAAGTTATCACATTGTATGCCTTGCAAAGATTAGGCAAAATCATGCATGTTCGTGTCATATGGGATGCCGGGCTCCATTTGCATGCAACAGTAGTGGTAACAGCTCCTGTTTATTAACCTTATTAGAATGTTTATCCAGAACTCATTCCCTTGATCATACTTTTGACTGAACTGTCAAATGCGGCAACCTTCCCTTTCGAAGCACACATCATGATTTTACTGATTCAAACATCTTGGAGTATGTATCTCTTTGACTCGAGCACTAATCTGTGACAGAAGTCCAAAAGGGTGGTGGGTTTGACTAAATGGTTGGAAAAAGAACCAAGTTCATCCGTTTTCTGTATTTTTGTACTAACATGAGAGCTGACCAAATCTCCTTCTAAGAATATTAAAAGATTAACATACTCTAAACCTTGACAAAGATGCCGTTTGTATGTGGGTGTTGTCAATGTCGAGTTCTTTAAATACTGTCGCAAACCACCATGATAGTGCCACCATCATAAATGCTTTGTGGAGATGGACAACGATGACTTTTTTGACATGCTAACATCTGAAACAAAAGGGTACGTGAACAGACGACGATACAGTAGAGAGGTAGAGAGGAGTTGACGTTCCCGTTGAGGTCAGGTTGGAAGCACCGTGTGGTGGGCGACGATAGGGGGGAGAGAGAGAGGGGGAGAGGAGTTGACGTTCCCGCTGGGGTTAGGTTGGCAGCTGTGTGTGGTGGACTCTACCCACAGTTCGAGGAACGCGTCCATCGCGTTTCCACAGGCGATGCTACTGCCATCCGCGACATGAACAGATCCGACCGTACACCGAATCACGTCAACTGGCGGTCAAATCATCATCATCATCGGATTGGGGAAGTATTGGGTGTAAATCCAGTCCACGCCGCACTCCCACGCATCGCCACCGCAGATCCCAGAAAGTACGCATCTCAACGTACGGCGTCGAAGATGGATGGCTGATGGCGCCTGGGCGAAACGAACGGCCCATGATACGGATCAGTGGTGTTGTCTTAATTATCAGATAATTTTCGTGATGATTACGGGAAACTCCTCTCCAACCTCTATGAATAGCCGTCAAAACGACAGCAAATGCCTCGCCGTCTCCAAAACTACGACTCGAGGGAAGGGAGAGACGAGGGCAAGAGGCGGAGGGGGACGAGAGGTGATCAGTGATTTGGTGGTCGATGGCGGAGGAGGTGGTTCCGCGTTGGGGAGTGGAGGAGGAGGAGGAGGAGGAGGAGAAGGTGGTGGGTCGGGAGGCCGAAGCCGGGTGGAAGTGCTGGAAGCACCCGGTGCAGACCTCCTACGGCGTATGCCCCGCTTGCCTCCACGATCGCCTCCTTCGCCTCTGCCCAGACTGCGCCAACGTCCGACCCTGCGGCTGCTTCCCCTCCCCGTCCTCCTCGGCCTCTTCCTCCTCGCTCTCCTCCGCCGAGCTTCTCGACTCCGGGGCCGCTGTCGGGGCGGTGGGGCTCGTGTCGATTCTCGTGGATAGCGAGCCGGCCTTCCGGCGGTCTCGATCGGTCGGGTTCCCGCTGCCAAGGTCGAGATCGGCGGCCGTCCCCGACGTGGACAGCGTGGCCCCGCTGCCGCGGGCTCGGCAGGGCCGCAAAGGGTGGGCGCCGTTCTGGCCGTTCTTGAGGGAAGCGAGGAGGAAGGAATCCTCGGAGGCGGAGATGTACAGGTCGAGGTCGGTGGCGGCTGAGCGATCGGAGGCTCCAGCCGGCGGCAGGGAGAAGGAGGGGAAGGCAAAGGGAGGTCGATGGTGGCATTTCCCGAGCCCGATGAGGGTTTTCCGGCACTGGAAGTCGGCGACGAAGGTGATGCAGGAGCGGTTGCCGTTACGGCGCAGGTGAGAATCTCAAAAGAGAAATAACGGAGATCTCCCTCCGTTATCATCAACTCGGCATTAGTATCAATATTACCAGTTGGTATTCACCGTCGGAACATTTTGTAGACAACGATTGATTGATTAGCAGATACTAAAGCTTCCCTACTTAACACATGTAGTTTCGTGCTCCGATCAACCCAAGTCCGTCTGATGTCGATCAGACGGCGAGGGGGGTCGCACTGCAATCTTCTATATCATGTACGATTTCTCGATAATTGCATATATTGATGTCTTTGCGAATAGACTGCTGCGTGCTCTCCACGGCCAAAGAGAAAGGAGGTGATGTGTGGTGGGGATGTGTTCATGTTTTCCTTTTCTTTTTCTTTTTTTTTTCTATTTTCTAAAGAAAATAAAAGAAGAGAGAAAGCACGAGTTGACAAAGTCAAAGGGACAGGATAACAAGTATGTGGATGAGAACGATTTGTGGACTCATTAGCATGTTGGAATCTGAAAGGTCTTTTGCATTTGCTGTGTTTTATAATTAAGTAAATGATATTGGAAAGTAATTTAGATTGTTGAGGTTGATATCTCACACCCCATGTCACCACTTGATATTATCAAATATTTGATTTAAAATGAATTAAGTCGGATCAATATCACCACGTGAAAATAATGAGGTTTAATCATTTATACTTTCATCGGCAATCTTCGTATCCTAGAAGTTCCTGATCATATTTTTCACGATGAATCGATAAATAATAGTCAGAAAAAAAAAGTTATACTAAAAAATATGAGTGATTTAAAAAAAAAATTCATAACTTTAACCCTTATCTTTTTTTGCTAAGCGTTTCTACTTTTAAAAATACTCAAACAACATACTTGGATGAGCTATTTTACTAATTAACCCCTGGATAGCTAAGTGTTGTGGGAACAATCTTGAGCCGTGGCCTCAGGGCCGACGCGACTTGGTTCGGGTCCGAATGAAGGGGATCTTTCTGGGACAACCCTTGAGTCCGCTGAGGTGGCCGACTGCGATGGTCCGATCGGAAAGGGGAGTCGTTCCGTTCAGGAGGGGGCTCCTCGCCTGGGCGTCTAGTGGAAGGCCACCGTCTTCGCACCTGCACACAGGTCGGGTCAAGAAGCTTGACTCGACCCCTCCGACGATCTAGTTAGAAGATAGTGGCAAGGGACTTCTTTAGCTAAGTGGTGCTTTCTCCTTTTTTTCTCCTCCTGCTTCTTGATGAACGAGGGGGTATTTATAGGGAAGGTTACCGTTGTTTGATGTGCCTGCTCGCAGGGGCAGAATCGTACTTTTGGTAGTGTCTGACACCGATGTTGCCGTGACGTGAGGGATCGAGCTTGAGCAGGGTATTAATGTGCCTCGATCGACGTTCCAATCTATATTGACCGGATGCTGTGAGGCGTCATTTGGGTCAGTTGACGTCACCCGAGTCTTATCGTAATTATTATCCTCATCACTAAGCTATTGTTTTTTGGTCTAAAACAATGGCTTTTGGATCATTGGTTTAGTAAGGTTTTGAGGTTCCGTTCACGTTAAGATGGTTCACTGTTGGTTAATATTTTAACTCTGTTAAGGAGACCTACCTTTATCTCCATGTTTTTTTTCTTTTTCTTTCTTCTTGAATCATGACGAAAAAATAACATATCTATTTTATACTATACTTTCATGGAAGCCAATATGTTATAACACATTTTATTATTACTTTAGTTCATTGATTTAAAATATAATTTTTAATTTTAATGATGTGGAGGATCCTATTCTCGATAAAGTATTTTTAGTTCTCGATGATATTGATAGATGAGACGTCAAGTTTGGATAAAAATCATTTACCAAATAACTTTAGTTTTGTGATTCTTTTTATAGAATTGAATGATTCATTTTATTATTAGGAAGATGATAATAGTGATGATATCTTCAAAAATGAATTGGTTGAAGAAAGATTATAAGAAGAGGTTTAAGGTGACTTAAAGTATAATATTTATGATATATTAGATGTTGGTCAGAGAGTTATTTCAAATGAGGATATTTATGATAATATTGAATAAATACTTACTAAATATGGTTTTAGCTAAGAGGATGATATGTTGTTAAATACATAAGTTCCTTTTGTTATATTTTTTTGAATAACAAAAAAAATAGAATTAAAATTATTTGTTATATTTTTTTATATAAGTAACCCAAATAATATCTTTCCATAGATTTTTCAAGATAGGGTTGAATTTCAAAGGACTATATCATTCGAAGAAATTTTAATGTTAAATATGTTGCAACTAGAAGTTATAAGATAAAAGCAAAATGTAAAGTTTTTAATTGCCAATGGATGATAGTAGTGTTAGGATCACGAGCACTAAGAGGGGGGGGGGGTGAATTAGTGCAGCGAAAAACTTTCTGCGATTAAAACGAAACTGCGTTCGAACGATAAAAACGATTTCTATGTGAAAGCCGATTCTCTTTAACTTAAGATCAAGCAAGATGATGTTAAAGTCAACCTACGAAGGCAGTTTGCAGTTATGATGAAAACCAGAATATAAGCGCAAACTGAAATACGACGTTCGTACGAAGAAACTGATTTACGTCTAAATGCTGATTCGTAAATCACTTGATTAGGCGAGGTGCAGCTTAAGCAAGGGTATGAAAGCAATTTGCAGTTAAGATAGAGATCAAAATGTAAACGCAAACTGAAATGTGATGATCGTACGAAAAAACAGATTTACGTCTAAACACTGATTCGGAAAGTGCAAAGCTTGAAACTCGATCGTATATGCGCAGAAAGTAGTAAGCTTTAGAGGAGGTTTGTAGTAAAGATAATATGCTCAAAGTAAATGCAAACCGAGATTTAGAGTAGTTCGGTCAATCTTGACCTACTCCACTTTTGGCTTCCTCCATCGACGAGGTCACCGACGTCAACTAGAGGCCTTCCTTCAATAGGCGAAGGCCAACCACCCTTTTACAGTTTCACTCCTTTTGACGGGCTTAGGAGACAACCCTTACAGAAAATTTCTCTCCTCTCTTTACAACTTAGAACTTGGAAGAACAGAGGGAGAAGAACTTTTGGCCTTTACAACAATTTTGAGCTCTAAGAATCACATAAAAGGATCAAGATTTCAGTGTTTGTCTGTTTTGTTTCAGTGCTGAATGGGTGGGGTATTTATAGGCCTCCACCCAGTTTAAATTTGAAGCTCAAAACTGTCAATTCCCGGAATTCCGGGATCAGGCGGTTGCACCTCCTGACTGGAGCGGTTGCACCGCATGGCAGAGCTCGAAGATTGAGCCTCTGGGCAGTGCTACCTCCTGTCAGGGGTGGTTGCACCTCCTGACAGAGCTCGAAGACCGAGCTCAGGCGGTTGCACCTCTTGACTGAGGCGGTTGCACTGCCTGGCAGAGCTCGAAGACTGAGCTCAGGCGGTGCCACCTCTTGTCAGGGGAGGTTGCACCGCCCAGTCTCACTCGGAGACTGAGCCCCAAGCGGCGCCACTGCCTGGCTGGGGCGGTTGCACCTCCCAGTCTCGCTCGGAGACTGAGCCCAGGCGGTGCAACCTCCTGCCTTGGGCGGTTCAACCGCCTGGCAGAAATCAGGGTCCGAATGGGCTGATCCATTCGGCCCAATTTGGGTTTTTCAGGGGCCCAATTGCCCCAAGATTAAGTTAATGGGACCACCTCCCATTTCCAACTTAATCAATGTACTAACTACGATTTTTCCTAAGACATTTACTGCAACTTGCTCTGGTGCGTCAATCGCTTCTTCCGGCGAGCTTCCGGCGAACTTCCGTCGATCATCTGATGAACCCTCGGTGATGCTCCTGCGGACTTCCGGCAAACTCCTGGACTTGCAACGATTCACTTGGCGAGTTCCGACGAGCTTCTTTGGTAAGCTTATGGACTTCTCGGATTTGTTCCCGTAGAATCTCCGACGACTGTCCGAACTTCCGTCGAACTCTCGAACTCCCAACGTGATCATTGTCTTGACTCCGACGCAACTCCTGCTGCATGTCTCACTTTCATCATAGTTAATCCTGCACACTTATCTCAACATATAGATTAGATAACAAATGACAATTGACTTCATCATCAAAATTCGAGATTCAACAATCTCCCCCTTTTTTATGATGATAATCAATTGATAATGGAGTTAACCTTAACTCCCCCTGTCTATATGCCATACTTGAGATAAGTCATTCTTGAATTCAAGACCTAAGAATTCAAGCGACATATTGATAAGTTAAATCATTTGAACTTATCAATACTCCCATCATGATTCTCATCATGATGTATCTCTCTGAAGATGATGTCAAGGCTTGACATTCATTTTCAAATTTTACATAACAATTTTGAATGATGGTAATTGTAGCAATTCATCATATTGTAAGATATCAACATGTAAAGCTATGAAGTAAGATTTTGATATCATTACATGATGTACACATTTCAAATATTTTAGCAAGTGTTACATTTCTTCACATGGTAAGATATCAACTCAAGGCATAATGCAAATTAATGCATGGCATCTGTTCATATATCTCTTGGTGATGCAAGCATGGCATAATCATAACATCAGTGTTTATAGCATCAATTTATATATCTCCCCCTTTGTCATCAACAAAAAGCATGGTAGATGTGATACTAGGAGAACAATATAAACAAGTTTATCAAGTATATAAAGGAAGGCATGATACGTAGATTGCTTTGAATACTTCTTCCTTTTTTTTTTTTTTTGTTATAATCCTTTGTGATTCCAACTATTTGTGAGTTTACTTTGAGTCAAGATATGTGTTTGAAACAACTTTTTGCAAGTAAAAATACTATCATCCATATTTCAAGATGGAATTCATAAGCAGGAATCATTTCATCAAATCCATTTCAGAAAAAATATTTTTCATAAGAGTGTATGAGAAAATTTGATTTTTAGCATTCCAACTATTAAGTGAATCCGAAAATGAGATGAACTCTTTCATGCATTCGGACAAGACTATGCTACAGATTTTCAAATACAATCATGAAGATAAAACATTTCAACATATGTTATGTAATGGCAATCAAGTGATTTGATCATTCAATAAAGTCCGAAAAATAATTTTAACTAGTTTATCTGTTTGGACACATCAACATTCCTAATTCTCTTCTTATGAAATCAAATTGTTCTTCACTTAGAGGTTTTGTAAAAATGTCAGCTAGTTGATGTTTAGTATCAATGACAATAACTTATCAACTGCATTGGTATATCACTTTTTCAAACTATATTTATCATGGAAATCAAGGCACAAGGTTTTCAAAACATTTAGT